AATATAATTTTTGGTCAGAACCAAGTCTCCTGAGCATTTTGTTTTTCGTATCATGTCAATTTTTTTCAATTATCATCCCTTTTTGAAGTTATTTTTCAATATGACAAGGCGTCTTTGGTGATTATTGTGAACTATATACTACCATGGAACTGCCTATCATGTTCGACGTTTGGGAAATGCTTGGCAGGAGGGTTAGAGGTCGCGAAGCGGTACCAGCTTCATTAAATGAACTTCCTTAGCGAAGAATGGGAAAACATAACTCAATATGATATTATGCAGCCTCGATGACAGTATAAACGGACGTATATTGTACAGGCAGATATAGCAGCCAAGGAAGGCAATACAAAGTATTATAGTATTTTTACAATTTCTTTTTCTGTTTGAATACTTAAGTATAACAGATGTTTTTGTTTTAACGTTTTTATATTTAGTATAAAGTATCCAATGCAGCGTAATATGACGTTACAATAGTCATGAAAACCCATCTCGTCATTTTAAAAAATTACACCAAATGTAATGATAATTGAAAAAATTGCAAGTTGATGGAGATCATTTCGTTCTTAATTCACATTCACAGTTCATTTCGCTCTTCAAAATTAACCAAAGCATGTACTGACATGAATCAAAAAACAAAATACTCAGGAGACGAGGTTCTGATCGTAAAATTATATTTTAGGAAAATTTACACAAGAAATTATTGCACAGGGTGTTTTAATGTTAGAGTAAAAAAACAACCCCTCGATTGTATAATATGCCAAATACTAAAGTCTACCATCAGGTCCATCCATAACTAACGAAGAAATAAAGAGAGCAATTAAATTAGCTAAGAACAACAAGGCGCCAGGTCCAGACCACATACCAACGGAAATACTGAAATTATTGGACGATGAAAGCATTTCCCTCCTACAAAGAGTATTCAATCATATCTATGACACGGGGCAAATTCCTGAAAGCTGGCTGAGTTCGACCTTTATCCCACTTCCTAAGAAAGGCAATGCACGCCACTGCAATGACCACAGACTAATAAGTCTAATGAATCACACGCTCAAGATATTCTTGAAAATATTACACAATAGCATATACAAAAAATGCGAGCGTAATGTGAGCGAAAATCAGTTTGGGTTTAGAGCTGGAATGGGCACCGGAGAAGCGCTGTTCAGCATACAAGTGCTGGTACAAAACTGCCTAGACGTTAAGAAAGATGTGTTCATGTGTTTCATTGATTATGAAAAAGCTTTTGATCGAGTGCGCCACGGTAAACTCATTGAGATACTACGGAAAACAGACGTGGATGAGAAGGACATCAGATGCATCGAAAATTTATATTGGTATCAAAGAGCACATGTAAAGACACAAAGCTTCAGAACTGAGGATATCCGTATACGTAGGGGAGTAAGACAAGGTTGTGTACTCTCTCCACTTTTATTCAATATGTACTCGGAGGAGATCTTCAGTGAGGCTTTTGAGGACTCGGAGCAGGGAATAAAGGTTAATGGAATCCCAATATCAAACCTAAGATACGCAGATGACTCCGTGTTGCTAGCAAACAATATGAATGAGTTACAAGACATGTGTACCCGCCTAAATAGCTAGCAACAGATATGGATTAAACATCAACGCTAATAAAACCAAATTCATGATCATTAGCCGTGACAAACTAAGGTATGCGAACTCAACCCTCAGCATAGGAAATCAACTTCTAGAACGGGTGGAAAAATATCAGTATCTTGGCTGTTGGCTGCATGCGGACTGGAACCCTGAGCGAGAAATTAGAACAAGAATAGGAAAAGCGAGCGCAGCATTTCTTAAGTTCAAAATCGTACTGAACTGCAGAGATATCCAACTGCAGCTGCGTCTACGATATGCAAAGTGCTACGTATGGTCCGTCCTGCTCTATGGGGTGGAAGCGTGGACCATGAAAACTAATACTATAAATAAATTAGAAGCCTTTGAGATGTGGACATCCAGGCGTCTCTTGAAAATATCGTGGACCGATAGGATAACTAATGAAGAAGTACTCAATATGATGCAGAAGGAGAGAGAACTATTAAATATAATTAAAAAACGGAAGACCTTCTACTTAGGACACATAGTTCGAAATGAAAAATACAACATTCTGCAGCTCATACTTGAAGGAAAAATAGAAGGCAAGAGGGGAATAGGTAGAAAACAGCTGTCATGGGCGAGAAACATCAGACAGTGGACCGGTCTGAAGACTATAGGAGAGCTCATAAACACCGCAAGAGATAGAGAAAGGTTTCAACATGTGGTCGCTAACATCCAGTGAATGGATAGGCATCTGAAGAAGAAGAACTTGCTAAAATGCAAAATTAAGTAAGTACTCATAGATTCATGATCAAAAGAATTTTTTTTAGAGAAATAGGCCTTTTGTAATTATTTTAAATACCATTATTTTTTGGGGGAATTTGCTGTAGATAGCAATGTACATTAGTGCTATAAATTTTAGTAAACTTTAGTTATAAATTACATTAAATTAATAATTTATTAATTTTATTTCTATTTTAAGTTTATTAATTGTCATTCATAAAATTGCGTTTATCTCATCGAGGAGATCCGAGAGGAGATCGAAATGGACAAAATATCAAGATACAACTTTTAATCCGTATTAAATGGACAATACACTTTTATTAATAAAAGGGAAAAAGTCAGTGGGGCACATGTTTTTTTTAGAATAATATTCTAGTGATAACTCGTCTCCGGTAAATTTTTCGACACTTATTTTAGCATTAAAATATGTAACACTCTACCCTCCACATTTCATTCGAATGGTTAGAAACACTTGGATGAAATATAAAGCTACGAAACAAAGTAGCGAAACAAAGCTACGAAACAAAGTAGTGATTTTTACTTAAGGAACCTCCCCCCGATAGATGGCACATGTTTTTTGAAACACCCTGTGTTTATAATTGAGAGGTTAAGTTGCAAAACCCGCATTATACATTTTTTTTAATAAAAAATGGCATATTGATATATGTACATTAATAGTGGACCCTAAAATCTACATAAATATAGTCCCAAACTGCAGGAAAATTCCCCTATTCCTATATAAAATTCACTACAAATTACGTTACTGCCACGTATTATATTTGCTTTTTATTGTCATTATTGTTGCAAATCCCGCATTTCTTTATAGACTTTTTACACAAATATAGTATTACTACTGACGTCTTATCCATTTCAAATCATCACCTAGTTTTAATAAAATAGCATACCTAGTAATTCCAAGTTAGGATGCAAATATCTTGCCGCATTAAAACCAGCAAATCAAAACGCACACAAGAAACGTGCCCATTAAGTGGAATCTTTGTTTTGTATCTGGTTTTTGTAGAAATAAAAATTAATGTTTAATTTTTAAAGAGAATAAACACAAAAATAATACGGATAAGGCGAGTTACATATGTTGAAGTTTATGTATCATACTGTAACAAAACCCGCCTTATCCAAATTATTTTTGTGTTTTTTCTCTTTAAAATTTAAATATTAATTTTAATTTCTACAAAAACCAGAGACAAAACAATAATGGACACGTTTTTTGTAAAATAACGCTTCAAACATTTGCCAAAACGTTTTTCCTTATTATCTCTAAATAACGTTTTTGGGATAAGGCCGGTTTTGCAACTTGACGCCCTCAATTAATTTTGAAAATTAGTGCGTCGGACATATTATGTAGCTCCTAGAATAAAAAACTTGGGAATTTTGTTTAACCGCAAACCTAATAGGAAACCTAACAGGAAAATATTTTAACTTCCATAAGGTGGCCGAAAAATGTAAGTAGATCGGGATGATTTTTTTAAATGGAACACCCTGTATATTACTGCATTTTTGGTTTGGTTGGTTTGGTTGTTGATTCATAAATATAAATAAATAAATAAAAAATATATTTTTCAGCCTTTCTTAAAAAATTATTAAATATACAAGAACTGTCCTGAAATCAAAACTATATTATATATTTACTGTGTTTTTAGATTGTCTATACTTACTTTGCTATAAATATGGTAATGGTAAATCATACAGAGTGTTCAAAATTCTACACGAAACTTTCTAAAATATAAAATAAAATTTCTTTGTTTTTTTAATGGAACGCCCTGTATATTATTTTTTCAATAGATGGAGAATTAAAAAATGAGCAATTTTCGTATTTAGAGTATTTCAAAATTTTTAACGGATTCGCAGATATTCGCGGTTTTATATTTCATATGGCATCTTCCACAGTAAATTTTTATCAAAGCCACCCAATGATTTTTCGCTGGTATTATACCACTGAGAGAAACATATGAAGTAATACGACAGCGTGTATCTGCGAAACCATTAAAAATTTTGAAATACTTTAAATATACAAAATGTTCATTTCTTAATTCTCCATCTAATAAAATAATAATATACTGGGTGTACCATTTAAAAAAAAAACAAAGAAAAATTATTTTATATTTTAGACAATTTGGCGTAGAATTTTGAACATCCTGTATGATTTAAGATTACGATATTTATAACAAAGTAAGTATATACCATCTAAATTAATTACCTACATAGTTTTGATTTCAGAACAGTTCTTGTATTTGTAAAAAAAATTTTAATGAAGGTTATAATAATAATATTTTTTATTTATTTATTAATATCTCTGAACCTCTCGAAATATATTTACTCATATTTTAGGATTATGTAAAATGATCTGAAAGGAAGGTAAAAATGAAATAATATACAGGGTGCTCCATTAAAAAAAAACATTCTGATCTACTTTTTTGAGCCACCCTATAAGTCAAAATATTTTCCTGAAATACATCCTCATACATACTTTATGTTTACACTTAAACAAAATTCCCATTTTTTATTCTAGGAACTACAGATGCCCGACGCACAAATTCTACCAGACACCGCTGCTACAAAAACAAAACTGGCAACAAAAACATCAACTTAAACGAAAAACAAACACCTATATGGTATTCTGACTTAAAAAAGAAGCACTTATCGGGTATTCTGACCTGGTGAAGATGTCGATGGACCGGCCGACCTTCAGCTGGCTGTCTTCGGCCTCGGAGGAGGAGGCTCCCGCAGCACCGAGGGCGCCGCAGCACGAGACGAACGCACTCAGCAGCACGAGCGGCAGGAGCGGCTGCGCGCCACCCCACATTCTACCAGCGACTGACGACGATGGCAGCAGCGAGCGCCGCGGCCGACTATCCTGCTGAAAACGAAAACGAGACGCGGGTTAACGAAACTGTGGTGGCAAGTAGACGCGGGGCCTTGAAGTCGGTCCTGCTAATGGTGAGGTTGGTCTGATAAGGTGTATTCGTATCTAGTAGATTACTTTTTCTATGGAACCATCAATAATAATTGAAATGGTTAAGCCTAGTTGACACAGTCAAAGTGTATATTTGGATGCTGCGCGCGTCTCGCTTGGAGGCCAATTGCATGGTATATCAACCGATTTTAAATTAGTTGGTATGATCCAAGTGTACTTGGATTGAATTCACTTGTATGGTTTTTAGATCGTACCAACCGCTTTAAAATCGGTTGATACGATCCAAGTGGTGTCCAAGTGAGAGGCTCGCAGCGTCTAAGTGTATTTGATCTATTTTGTTACCATGGATCCAAAGTATACTTGGAAGCTGCTATATAACTGTATTTATATTAATGCCGCGCGCGTCATACTTGTACGCTGCTTATAGAGCATTGACTGTTTCACCAAAGTCGAGTTGGAAGACTTTTTATGGTCACAGTAAGAAGGCTGGTTTCGACTTTGATAAAACAGTTGATACCGATACCATACAAACTAGAGATGAGCAAAACTGCGATTCTCCAATCGCAATTAAAACTGCGATTGCCATTTTTAAATCGCTGCGACTGTAACTGCGATTGCGATTTTAATATTTAAATATTATACTAGGTCTATAATTGTCTGTGCATGTAGCTTAACAGTTGAAAAAAAGTTAATAAAAAGCAGTTGTTTAGTTTTTAATTTTTGTTTAAGATCTGCAACATATAGTATAGGTATAAAAAATTTATAATATTATGCTGCAACTGCTGCAACTACACATACCAATATCTATCTTGTCGGCCAGGACAACACACGAAAAACAATAGACAATTAATTTTTTTTCGAAGATCCTTGATTAAAAATTAGTGTTTTTAACACAGCCATGGCACTCTAGATTGAAATTTAAAATACGATTTTTTAAGCGTAAATGTCAAAAGTTGACATATGATATGCCATTTTATTTAGAGTGTCATTTTCTATCGAATAAAGCAAAAAAATTGTGTGCGCATATTTGAAGTGAACTTCCGTCTGTCTGTCAGTCTGAGACCTCCATTCGGGTACCTCTATTCACGTGCCGAGTTTGGTTCCAATCGACCCATAATTAAGAAAAATCCTAATGATTTAGTCCATCTAGAGGCATCGGTTCGAACTTCGAACCGTCAAGAGCGTCATCCTGTAGCCCGTCCCTATTTATGCGAAAATCGACCGACATTTTTCTCCAATATCAATTCCTTAGTCCTACCCTGATGATGATATAAACGAAACGTCGTATCCAACTTTGCAGGGTGGGACCCTGTGTACTGTCGCTCTATTTAGCCTACCCACCAAATTTGGTCGCGATCGGACGACATCAAATTTTGACGTTTCTTACGTCAAAACTAACTGTCACAGTGACACGTGACGTACATGGCAAAGTTGGCCTTGGTCCAATCTATCGACGTACCAAAAATCATTTAAATCGGACGAGTTTTTGATTTGATTGATTGATGATGAGGTTTCGTAGTGCACGAAACGTCGTCAAAATATCATGAAAAGATGGGACTCTTTGAGTCAGCAGTGATCGAAATGGATTGATCAGGAAGTGATCGAGACGAATTGAATACGCTAATCAATCCTAATTTATGTCATATGCTAACATACCAAATCTCGTTTTTTTATCAGAAAAAAGTAATAGGGGCGAACGACTGAAACACCCGCTACATGACGATCTTGGCCCTAGAAAAATAATACCTTCTCGATAAATAAATTAAATCAGAGAGTACATTCAATCGCAGTTTACTATAAAATGCTTCAATGGACTACAAAATTACATCCAAACAAAATCCAAATTATAACTCCTAAAAATTCAAACTGTCCTAGTTTGCAAAATCACAATCGCAGCAAAATCGCAACTCGCAACAAAATTGCAACTCGCAACTACAGTAATATTGGTTGCCTAAATTGAAATAATCTATTCTATCATATTAACTGTGATAGCTTTATTGGCACTAAAAACATAACTGTGATAAATTATTTCTGTGGACGTGGATTGGTGTTTGTTGAAACAGAGGATCTAGTTCTAATATTCTATTGTTTCTCACCGAATGGAGAAATAGATAATTTTGAAGTACTAATGAATGGCATATCAGCATGCACTAGACAAACAACAAAATATATTATGATGGGCGGTGATTGAAATGCCAAATCTATGACTCCTAGATCATCTACTAACAAATATTAAAGGCCAATTCTTGAAGAATGGATAGCTTGAACAGATCTAGTCTAGTTATATTTAATACAAGAAGGCACCTAACGCCTAACTTTTGATAGACCAAATGGTACTTCAATAATTGATTTTAATATAACCTCTCATAGAATAAGCAAAACAATTCATAATTAGAGAGCCGAGAGCGAACTAGAAAACATGAGTGATCACAACACAATTTTGTTTGAAATACTATACCAAAAGCAGGTATATATATATACTATACCCTCAACCAAAGAAGCCGCTTTGTCAATATATGTATCTAACGTTATTGATCATTATTAGAACTACTTAATGCGTTTTAAAAGATCCAATAAATATTAATAGCACATTATGTGAAAGTCCTGATTTCCTTTGATTTATATAATGCACCAACATATAAGAAAAATGACTAGAAAAAATAGTTTACATAAATATACGAATAATTTACACCTGTGATTACAAAACAAATTGACTACCGGGTAGTATTTGTCAACAAAATATATATTTTTTAACAATTAAAAAATATATATTTTTACCCTAATATGGGCTAGTTCTTAAGTAATATACAGGGTGAGTCTTAAATAAGTGTAAATATTTTTAGTGGTAATATAATGCGGATCCAGAAACGCAGTTACGCATGATTTTTTTTGCGAATAAAAATTTTTGAAAATTTAGAATATACCATGTAGCATAATTAATAAAATATGTGGGAAATATTAAATATAATACATTAATTTAATATAATAGTAAAACAGGTTTCTGGATCTTAACATTAGGTTTCTTATAAACTAATATATAGATGGCCCTGGTAGTTCAATTTATGAATTTCGCTTTTTTGCAATAATGGAATTTGGGTGATCGCCATTTTATTTATACCGCTACAAGTGTTAACAGCCTCTGATTTTCTGTACTTTTTTTTTACGTAGATAATTTAGTAAATCATACAACACACAACACACTACATACCTAACCATAATCATTATATATAACAAACGTAGGATAGGGGGGCCCGAAAAAAAATCCGCTTGGGGCCCAATGACCCTTAAAACCGGCCCTGCTGGCCATTATACTGCTCTACCATTTTCTATCCATCTTCCGGGGAAACGATTTGATTGATTATATTACATTATATTTTTATTATTTATTTTATATTATTTTTTACTATTTTATTGCATTTGATTTTCCGTATTTAATATTTTACCCCACTTCATTGTTAAGTTTGACAGCTTATCAATATTTTAACGATGAATAAATAGATTAAATATTTAAGAAAAACAGAACCGGACTTGAAATTAGTTTAAATAAATTGTGTTCAAATGTCCGAAACAAAAAAAAATAAGTGTGGCATATCATTGTACTCAGGAGACCGAATTCTTTCAAAACCCGAAATAAAAAATGCAGGTCCGTATTTAAAAAAAATAAGTTGGTTGTATATCACAAATTATCAACTAATTTGAAAATCTAAAAATACTATCAGATATCCCTAATAAAGTGGCCAGAGAATATGCAATTAGTTTTTTGATGTTCTAAAAAGTAACAACAGGGAAAAATAAAAATTATTTTCCAAAAAATCCGTTTTTTTTTCTAAAAAACTCAGCAATCCTTGAAATTTTTAAAACTTTTTTGATGGCATCTTGGTGAACATCCCAAAGCGCAACTTTGCCCCAATTTAACTACCCTGTATTGACGTGGTCTCTAAATCGTGTTAAATTTTATGGTTTTGCATTGTTTTTGCAGGTAACAACCTGTTCAGTTTTAATTTAAAAATAGATGCAGTCTTTCTTAAAATAGTTAAAACCGGCTTGTACAAAATTGTTCAAATTTGACAGGTCTATTCAGCGTACACAGACCTTTAATAAACCTATGTACGATTTCGCTGTAAAATTAACAGGGGAGCCAATATTTGGACAATTCAAAATTTGCATGGGATATTCTATGCTTCCAACACCGCCGCTGAATGCACCACCTGCTATAGAGTATAGAGTCTATGAAATATTATCAGCTTTTCTAGCTTTATTTTTCGTCTGAATGTTAAGTCGTTTATATTGGTTAGACCAATTGGGGGTTTGCAAGTAAATAAACATTCATAAAATACTGTAAAATATTCTAAATCAAACATGATTAAAAAATATTAGCTGTCTGTGCGTAATCGCTACCTACTATTACCCGTATACCATATTGCAGGAAATTATACTGCTTTAAAATTACGTATGTATCTAGGAGAGAAAGCCAGTTATCTATAATACATAAATATTTATTCCAAAAGAATTTGTATATGGAAATATGCGCAAAATAATATTTGTCGTAATCCCGGTCCTGGTCGATTTCGAAGCAGACGAAAACGATTCCACTAACCAGAGCGTTATTTTTTGATGTAGCAATTTCTTGGGACATTTAGTTTTGAACACACTTAATTTGTAATGTCCCAGTTTTTAATGTAAAGTTGTAGAACCAGAAAGACAAGACAGGCAAAACTCAATAATAATGAAATATACTTGCTGTTTTTTACTTGAAATTGGTTTAGTTTGTTTATCACTTTTACGCAATTAATTCAAATTAAATGTATTGAATTTGCAGGAACTTATATTACGACTGCATTCTACATTTACAAACGAGTAATATTGATTGGAGTGGAATTACAGAGATTATGGATAATACGATTTAAATATATTTTATCTGGTAATGTATCCACAGGATAGTTAACTATTTTATTTATTTAATCTTTGCATTTGCACAAAAATGACGCAATGAAATGAACAAGTTAAACAGGTGGGATTGGCTCTATGGTTTCCCGAAAGTAGTGTATTACCACCCTCTGGTAGTGTATCCACAGGGTATTTAATAAGTTGTTTTTTTATTTTTGCACAAAAATTATACAAACCAATTAAAGAGACGAGTCTGCGACTCTTTGGTACCCTTGATGGCACATATCACATGATGGTTACCACACTCTAGTAGTATAACCGGAGGGTCTAATTAATTGTTTTTTATATTATTTTTGCAGAAAAATGATACAAACAAGTTAAACAGAAAATATTTGCGACTCTCTTTATGGTATCTACTATTCGCATCTGAAGAGATGGAGAATTGTTTTCCACCGTCTCGTAGTGCATGCACAAGGTACTTTATGTTGTAACATTATGTTTCCTTTATTTTAGCTGTTAGTAAGAAGTTTCAATTCATATATGCTCACATTGTACACACATGTTATAATGTGAACTGGATTTAATACCATTGTATTAAATCCAGTACACTTTATAATATACCTACGGTCAAAACAACACTGTTACAATAAAGTAGCTTTTGTGATGGATTGCGCCAATTTAATGATTTACCGAGTGATGTTAAAGGTGCGTCTAGTCTGTGTATTTTTAATCAAAATTGGCAAGATTTTTCCGAATCTAATGTGTTTTGTCTTAATATTGTAATACTTTCAGTTTTAAGTAGCCAAGTGCTAAATAAGATCAGAGCCAGATGGATGCGTGAGCACAGACTGGAAATAGCTGTGGAAAAAACAGAGGTGATTTTATTCAGCAGCAAGAGAAAAGTTGACCATATAAAGTTAAATTTTAAGGATATAATAATAAATCCAGTGAAGCTACTCTCTAGTGTCAAAAATGATACAAACAAGTTTGACACAAACATCTTTCCCTAGGAGATGCAAGACCTTGTCGTTGGTTGGGAATCTCCTTGTCAGGTGCTGGAGGAATCTCCTCTAGTACTTTAGCTCGGTCTAAGAAGCATCTCATTGTTTTGTCCCTGGCTGTAGTGTCGTGGCCAGATAATTAAACCAAGACATATAACGATGCCTGACGGGGCTACCCCTGTCCGTCATACCAGGCACCCTCTATTGACTGTGGTAATGTCTCGCTGGTAGAGGGTGTGGGGGGGGGTCTTGGCTTAACCGCCTGGACTAAGAGGAGACAACCTTACCAAAAACCTAAATCTTACGATGGCGGGACTAGGTCAAAGGGATGCGTGGCTAGATAGAGGACTAGCCATTACTGGCCTCAACCTTGGGGCATGAGGGGGCACTCCATTGTATTTACCCCTTACTTCTGCATGCGGGGCTCTGTAGAAGTGGACCGACTATCCCTAGCGACTCGTGGGAACACTATGAGATCTAGTATTAAAAACACCACCGGTGAAGCTGTGGGGAAGCCCCCTAGCGACACTGGGTACATTACAAATGAAAGTATCAAGGGACCAAATCTAAAGGAAACTACAGGAGGGGCGGCTGACACTTGCTTGGGATTATCCTCCACAGTTGTAGCTACCACTTTCTCCAGCACACAAGCTACCGCCTTCTCCAGCAAGGGTCGGGAGCCTACCTCTAGACCCAATAAGCGATATAAGCTACCGAGTCAGCCTGGGTCAACCAGGCGGGCTAGACGATCCTCTGAGAGTAGGTCTTAGCGCAGAAGAACGGAGATACCTGACTGCTCCACGAAGGACTTGCTCCAGAGGAAGCAAAAGCAAAACACTCCTCCGAAAAGAGGAGAGTAAAAAAAACCAGAAACAACCTGGCTCATCTCCATCAACAGGCAAGAGAGGGAGCGAGAACCTCTCACCTCTTCTCCGGCAGGGAGAGAAAAAAGCCAGGATGGAAAGCCGTCCAACACCGGGAGGCAAGCAGGGAGCTTATAGCTTTGCCGTTGTTGCTGGACAAGTAAAAATGGAGGTGCTGCCAAAGGATTTCCCAGAGGTTGCTCGGACCACCGACCAGCAAACGTCTCTAGAAGAGGCTATACTGGACGAAGTAGTGGCGATCGGATCGCAACACAACGATCTACAAAATGTGGGTCAGCTGCGTTTTGCGGGGATACACTTTCGGGTGGGCATGATCCTCATAGATTTTGTATCTCAAGAATCGGCGAATTGGTTGGTGGAAATCGCACCTAAGCTTAAAAATTGACAAGGGCCGGAACTGGTTGCAGTGAAGGGAGAAAACATTCCTAAAGGGGCGGCCATAACGGTCTTTCTGCCGAGGAGCAAGGGGAAAGACACCACCTATTGCTGAGCCTTATCCAAGGTCAGAACTTCAATATAAGGACATTGAGTTGGCGAGTCATCAACTCGAGGGAGGAGAGTCATGGTCAGGTCCTTACAATAGAAATTGACCTCAAATCCCAGGAGGCAGTAGAGAAAGAGGGACATATCCTCTATTATAGATACGGGACAACACCGGTATCAGGTCTAAGGAGAGACCAAGTCTAGTAAAGAGGTGGAGAAAATGGAGACTGATCCTCCAGCCTCCACCTCAGGGGTACCTCAGCTCCTCGACTGTGAAGGGCGGCACGGAGGGCCAAACTCCAACCGTTGAAGGGTTTTACCAACCTCTGATGGTATATTCACAGGGTATATAATTCATTATTTTTTGGTTAGGTTAGGTTTATTTTTGCAGAAAAATGATGCTGTATTCTTGATGCAAACAAGTTCAACAGATAAGACTTGCGACTCTCTCGTGTATCCTTTATGATATATACTATTCGCATCTTGGAGAACACACACAAGACACAAGACATGGAGGAATTGTTTCCATCTTCTTGCATGCATGGATACTTCACAGGGTTTCCTTTATTTTTGCAGAATAATGATGCAAACAATTTAATTAGTGTTTGTGGCTCTATGGTACCTCTAATGGCATGTACCATCATTATCTGAAGACATGGATGAATTGTTACCACCCTGTGGTAGTGTATCCACAGTCCGTCTCCAGGTATTCATTATTTTTCCTTTATTTTTGCAGATAAATGATGCGAAAAAAGAGACTGGATTTGCGCGGCTCTATAATACCCATGATTTGGTGTCATACGCATCTGAAGACATGGAGAAATTTTTACTACTGCCTGGTAGTGTGTCCGAAGTGTATTTAATTCATTTTTTTGTAGAAAAATAAATAGCCGGGATGTGCAGCTCTATGGTACCCACTTATGTTTATTATGCAGCGGTAGATCTTGTGATGTATGATGGCATGTACCGCCCGCATCTGAAAACATGAAGGAATTTTTACCACCATCTAGTTGTTTATCCACAGGGTACTTTCTTTATTATTTTTTGTTATTTTTGGACGAAAAATGATGCAAAAAAATTAAACAGACACGATTTGCTATTCTCTGGTGTATCCTTGATGGTATCTGCAATTCGCATCATGGAAGACATGGATGAAATTTTACCACCCTCTGATGATATTCACAGGGTATATAATTCATTATTTTTCTATATTTTTGCAGAAAAATGATGCAAACAAGTTAAACAAACAAGACTTGTGACTCTATGGTATACCTTTTTTTGGTAGCTACTTTTCGCATCTGAAGACATTAAGGAAATATTTCCATCTTCTCGTAGTGCATGCACACGGTACTTTATACGTTATATTTCCTTTGATTTTGGAAAAAAATGATGCAGACAACATAAACAGATGGGGTTTGCGTATCTATGCTACCCTTGGTCAGCATTTGAATTATCATTTTTTATCATGCATTTTTACCACCTTCGATTGTGTATCCACAGGGTACTTTATTTATTATTTTTCCTTTATTTTTGCGATAAAAATGATGCAAATAAATTGAACAGACGAGATGAACAGCTCTACCCTTGATGTTATGTAGCATCCGCATCTGAAGACATGGAGAAACATTTCTCACCCTCTAGTAGTGTATTCACAGGATACTTTATTTATTAGGTCAGTAGCTGTATAAATATACCGTTTGATCAAAAAAATAGAGATCAAGATGGCTTAGATGGAAATGGCGGTCGTTGACATTCTCCATATAAATTAACATAATATAAAATGACAGAGATTGTTTTCGTTAGCAAATAATATAAAATATATTTAATATAATGAATCTGTTCAACCGTCTAATGGGCGATTTATGTGATGCAGTAATCTAAGCATGAAGACTCGTTCAAAATCTCGCGGTGTGAATAATTTATAATAATAATGACCTCTTTTGGTATCGAAAACAAACCATTGTCGATTGTGGGTCATTGTCACTTTCGATTTTCGTTAAACACGACTAGAATGTGTGTGTATGTTTGTTATGGTGTGGTCAGTATTTTGATTCGACTACGTAATTAACGATTATTATAAGTTAATGAAACGATTATTTTATTATTATTATTTAGAAATAGTTGAGAAAACGGTATCCTAGTGAGTGCTTCGCGCGAAGAAAAAAGTATGGATTATATTTAAACAATTTAATTAAATTTTTCAATATAACTTATTACATGATAAATGTGTGAAGAATAAAATGATGTAATTTGGGTATCGGAATTGAATTTAGTTGACTAATTACTATAAATATAAAGCAATAAAATTAATAAATGCCATAATACTCACCGAAATGCCATAATACTCCGGCTATATTGAACTCTATTTATGCAAATTTCGATATACTGACAATTCAAACTTCAAATTTAATAAAGGTTAATTTATAATTTTATTTACATCAAATTTACATTGACAGAAAACAACGCAACTTGTTTTCGTGTATATTAAAAAAATGATTTAGTAAATACTACAAAACTGCATCTTGACAATTTCTCGTTAAACGAAAATTATAGAAGGAATAAATATTATAATCAAATATTTTACCATTTAAAATATATTCTGTACCCATGCTTCTCTCACAGTTATTGTATGACTAAATTATAGATTAGGTGATTGAAACGCACCCTAAATATAAATAGGGTAGGAACATAAGGGTTTGAATGGGATTGCGATTCTTAGAGGGTTTTAATCTTATAATATACAGATTTCTATAATTGGACGGATCATTTATAACGTTATTATTGATTTATATTTTGATATTTAGCGTTTAAATAGCAGATGGCGCAATAGTCTCGAGCAGAACTGTTAGTTTATTTCGTTTGGTTATAGGCTCGCCATCTGGCAACTGAAAGCGATATTATTGAATAGAAGTTACAGATTACTGTTTTGTCGTGTGAATGTATAAATTTAAAGGATATATTAGAAACTTTGTTTTATTGATGTTCATCAAAAGATGGCTGATGTAGTGCTAAAAAATATAAATAATTAAAAACGAAATAGAGAATAAAAACGCGAAATATTAAAATACTATTGAAAAACTGAAAATAACAAAAAGTTAATGGCAAGAAATATTTTTATTTTAAGTATTACATATTTATACAAGAACCCTTCACTTTTTATTTTATATAAAAACACTAACACATTGTAGACAATTATGGTAATAACTTAAAGTTACATAAAAAACACAAAAAATGTTTATTAAACACAATTTATTGACAAAATCGACCTATAATTTATAATGCAATATTACGGGTGTAAATACTTAAAACGTTTAGGTATTTTAAAGTTGATGAAGGTGTAAGTTAGGGTTGAAAACCGTCCTCTATTCCAGAGGACAGTCCTCTTTTTGATTGTACTGTCCATTTTTTTTGTCACGTAAAGAAAAAGTCCTCATTTTTACACACCAAACTCAAAATCATAAAATTGTTAATCTAGCAACTCTTATTAGTGTTTTAACGTTTAATTATTTTTTGGAATAAAATCGTTTGTTCTATTTTAAAAAGTTTTGAGAGAGAGTATAAATATTTATAAGAAATTAAGAAAAACCAACAAACGTATAACATTTGAATTCCTTTTAGATAAATTATTGACAACATTTGGGCGAATTTTTAAAAAATGTTTTGCTTGTAGCGCTTTTTTACCCTCTCGGTTAAATTTGCAACCCTATTGTAAGTATGATTTACTTGGTAAAAACTGGAATAATGACCTAAAATTATAAATTAAAAGATAATCAAAATGAATAACTGCATGACATAGTTACACAAATTTAAGAAAAACAAAACTCACTCAATTAATAATTTCAGAACGTACTTAAAATTTTCTAAACAATATGAACTGATCTCAGACACACCCTCAAACGCATATTTGACAAATAAATGATGACGTTGAACGCATCCGTAAAGGAAGTAAATTGAGATGGGAATGCTGGGTTTTTCCCGCCAAAAATAATTGTTTTGGATCGCATACGTTGTAGGGCGCTGCTATATCGATGACTAAGAACAACCGCCAAACAAGAACAGAAATAATTTTCTCTTGTCAAAGTCAAAATCTTCAAAAATTATATTTTTAAAATTTACACCGCCCTCATTTAAAAAATACCGAAAAGTGTTTAAAGCGCCCATTTTCATAGTAATTATTGCTATCTTGTGAGTTTAATTTAAATTTTATTTACTAAAATCCGTGATAATTGTGAAAAAGTGACATTAAAAAAACTAAAATAAACTATGCGAACTGTAAACTGGAAAAACTATAGTGACATAACGTCAGTTCCAATGTTCCATAGGTATTTGATACGTGTCCTTATATAGAATAAAGTTTTTTACCGGGTGCGGCCTCAAAAGTAGCTAACCCCTATAACTTTTTTATTTTTTCAGATAAAAAACGAGATTTGGTATGTTAGTATATGACATAAATTAGGATTGATTGACGTATTCAATTGTTTTCGTTCACTTCCTGTTTCATTGGAGATGACTACAACTTTTGATTTTTAAATGGCACCCTTGGTATTTTTTTATTTTATTCGATAGAAAATGACACTCTGAATCGAATGACATATATATATCATATGTCAATTTTTTACATATTCGCTCAAAAACAAATTGTGTTATAAATTTCAATCTAGAGTGTATGGCTGTGTTAAAAACACCAATTTTTAATCAAGGAGCCTTGAAAAAATAGATGCGTTCGTCTAATGTTTTTAGTGTCTTGTCCTGGCCGGTTAAAAGATGACCAAATCGTATTTTTAATCATATCTCAATTTTTTCAAATAGAACGAGGGTGGCTCATAGCATATTTGGAAAAAGCATTTTTTTACGAATAATTTGATACCACACACTTGGTATTTCTAGTCAAATTGTCGTTATGAACCGAATGTTACAATTTCCAATAAACTATATGCGAAAATGTCTAAAGTTGGCATATGATATGTCATTCTATTCAGAGTGTCATTTCCTATCGAATAAAGTAAAAAAATACCGAGAGTGCCATTCAAAAATCAAAAGTTGTAGTAATTTCCGGTGAAACCGGAAGTGACCGAATCCTAATTTATGTCATATACTAACATACCAAATCTCATCTGTTTTATCTTAAAAATAATAAAGTTATAATTGTGAGCCACTTTTGAGACGCACCCGGTATGCAACACAATATTATTTATTATTTTTATTAAAAAATTAAAAGAAAATATAAATAAATTTGAATAAATAAAATTTGGCGACATAATTCCGAAAAAAAACGCCCCGAAATTATTAAAAGCTTTGGATCGCGACCGTTGTAAGAATAACGCCAAATATTATTTGCATTGTCTTTATGGGCACTTTCCAATCTAAACTTGTTTCATTTAACTATATGGTTGAACGATCGCTGAAAAGGCAGTACGACATAACAGATTCATTTCAAATGAAACATTTCCTACCACCTTTAAACAAACAAATCGGTTATTTCAAAACGGTAGCAAGGAATCGTTTCACGTTTTGTACTATTTAGCTTGACCAATCTCATGCCCGGACGGTTTCGCTGTCAATCAAACGAACCGCGCGCTGGCGTACCCCGCGGGGGTTCCACTCCAGGTACCGACTACCAGTCGTTCGAGAACCAGGAGGAGGTCCGGCTATAATTGCCGTGAAATATTCCAACAATGGAACGGTATCTCTTTCGATTTATCCCGGTGGTCATCGCTACCATTGTTGCGAGTTATGGAAGGGTTTTTGTTTGCCACTGCCTTTTAAGTAGTTCTTTATAATTTTACGAGGAGATAGGAAGCTGTTGGTGTACTTTTCTAATTAACAACGGATTATCGGTTTTTATCCGCTTAAAGTTAGTTCCATTCGAATACAGAAAATTACTTTCTGTTGTTGTATCTTAAAGGGTTGTTAGTTGGGAAAAATACAATACAATCAGCAAATCGCTATGATGTATTTTCTTTCTTACTGCGTTAATATAAGCAGTCTTCGTTACGCTAACTGTAAGTAGAGTCATAACTAGTGATGGGTTAACTCGAGCGATACAAGTGACGAGCGACGAACTCAAGCGATCCTAGGATGAAATAAATTGAAATCCGATTTTAATGTGACATACTCCATAAAAAACCGAGCGAATTTTTTATACATACATTGCAGATACCAAATTTATACGACATTATCCGTTGCGTATCTGAGGGACAAAATTTTACGACCTACATCGACAATGGTTTGAAATAAACTAAATCAAAATCAAGCGAATCGCTTATCGCTTGCTACTTGCCATTCATCACCGAAAGAATATGTGCCCTGCGCACGCAACTTACTTCTTGGCGCTTGGCTTTAACGAGTACTTACAACAAGCGACGGACGAAAAACCGTATTTTTAAATACGAGCGATATTTCGCTCGAGCGATCGCTCAGTTATTGCAATCGCTTGAAACTCGAGTACTCGATTATTGAAATTAATCGGTTTTTCCCATCACTAGTCATAACTACCTTGGGACATTATCAACGAGAATTAAAATGCCATATTCCCTGATAGGAACCATGAAATGCAATATAGTCCAAGAGGGGTCTATATAGCTAAGTAGGGATCGGCAAGACAAGAAATCTTGTCTTGACAAGCAATTTCTTGTCTTGTCCTGAAATATTTTCAAGAATTAAAAAAAATCTTGTCTTGACCATTTTTTGAGAGTCGATTCTTGTCTTGATTCAAGAAATCTTGAAATTTCTTGATATCTTGATAAAACGGGAACCCCCGTTTAAAATTCGTTTATTAAAGGAGAACCCCCTGTTTAAAAGTCGCGGTGAGATTGGTTAATGTGATGTTTATGGCTTTATGCGTAAAATCGAGGGTCAGGCATCTACTTTTCAAAAAATTCAAAAACTTTGGGTTCATTATACTACAGTAGCCAATATCATCAGATTTACATAATTTTGTTAAGTATTATTATTATTATCTAACATTAAAATGAGTGATTGTGATGGTTCATTGAGCAGCAAATCTAAGCCATTCGTAATTGAATCTGGTTCAGAATACCTACCACCTCAGAACCTGGACGTAGAAGTTTAATTAGTGACTTTGACAGTAGTGACGGTGATAATATTACTACCTTTGAATAAGAAGACTAAGGAAGGAGCATAATGCTATCCATGTATTCATGCATGGTGGGCGGAAAAAGCACTCTAGGGTGGGGATCCTTGACAGTTCTGTTTGACGATTCATTTGACACATTTGAATTTGATTTGAAATTTTGTGGATTTGTCAGTCTTTACGGAGCTTATCTTATGTTATTTATTATTTATTCTACTACTGATAGTTGTATAAAGGTAGTAATTCTAGATGGAAATTGTGGCAGAACTTAAATTAACAGTGACACTATCGCGATTTATCGAAAAAGACTCTAAAATAATTGT